CCCTGGTTGCAACTGCTCGGTGTCCAATGCCCATTAATGGAGAGACAAGGAGAAGAAAGCTGGATGGAGTGGGGAAAGAGGCTCAGTGACAAGGGGCTCTCCCCCAACCCTGACTCCAGCCTGGTCCCTGGGAGCTGTGGGCATGGATGGGTCCCTCCTTTGTTATAATGGAGCGAGCATAGAAAGTCAACACCAAGACAAAAGTATGCCAAAGTGCAGGGCCTTTATTGCTGGCAGCCACGGAGGACTCGTTTCTCTCTAACCCGTGGCCCCGAAAGGAGGGTGTCAAGGCCTTTTATACCTGTAAAACCACCTCAGGAGTGAGGGTGGGGGTGAGGGGCTTCAGACATTTCAAGGACTAGTGGATTCTGTAAATCACCTCTTGGGCAGAGATGAGGGTGAGGGGCTCCGGACATTCCAGGGGATTCCTGGGCGATGATGAGGGTGAGGGGCTCCGGACACTCTGAGGGCCAGGGGACTTTTGACATTCTGATTGTTACTTAAGTGGTTCACAAAAGTCAAGATTAGCATTTGTTTACACATTGTCTGGGTAGGGTGGAAATTACAGTTCTTAATTACTTATTACAAGAGGCAGGGGCCAAGATGGCGTGGGTTTGGACTGCTTGCCTGTCACATTTGAGTTATAGAGAGCAGTTTCAACAGAAAACTGAGAGGTATGGTTGAGGTGTGCAGTTTATGGGGCTTTTTACCATGTCACACTTGAGGCTGAAGTCTGGCCCCTGATTCTTCGTGAGTGGATTAGTCATTGCCCACCGGCCATTCTTCCCCCTTTCTCCAGCTCATCCTACTGTCACCCGAGGAGAAGAGGCTGCTCCCCTGCAGCCCAGACCACTCCCCAGAGATGGGGGCACTTGTAAGCCTCGGGCACCAACACAGCAGTTAAGAAACTGGTGTTTTAACCCTCCAAGCAAGAGTTTTTAAAGGCTGGGTACATTTCAGGAAAGCAGAAGTTACAAGCAAAATCATAAACCAATACCTGGAGGCTATACCTTAGTTTGGCCCAAAAAGCCAGGATATCTTGAAGCAAGGCTTACAAGCCATAGGTGGGTTCAGAGATTCTTTGATTTGCAATTGGTTAAGGAAGCAAAGCTTTGTCTAAAAACTTGGGGTCAGCAGGAAGGAATGTTAAGGTCTGGCCTATGGGAGTGACTCTCTCCAGGACCCTCAGGAAGAAATTTAGAGCAAAGAAGAGCGATCAGAGTTGAGTCTTCAGTTCCTCCTTATCAGAGCCCTACCTACCAGCAGATGGCATTTTCCATTTGGTGGGTGATATGGTTTGGATTTGTGTCCCCACCCAAATCTCATATTGGATTGTAATCTCCAGTGTTGGAGGAGGGGCCTGGTGGGAGGTTACTGGACCATGGGGGTGGATTTCCCCCTTGCTGTCCTCATGATAGTGAGTCAGTTATCACAAGATCTGGTTGTTTAAAAATGTGTAGCACCTCGCCCTGCTCTCTCTTCCTTCCTTCTCCAGCCTTGTAAGACAGGACTCCTTCCTCCTCACCTTCCACCATGATTGCAAGTTTCCTGAGGCCTTCCCAGCCAGGACTCCTATAATGCCTGAGGAACCGTTAGCCAATTAAACCCCTTTTCTTTACAAATTGCCCAGTCTCAGGTAGTTTTCTGTAGCAATGCAAGAACGGAATATTATAGCGGGGTCTAGGTTTTTGAAAAACAACTCGGGCGTGTGTTAACACTCTTGGTTTTCTGGGCAATCACACATCTCATGGCTCTCACTTCCTTGGCTACTGTTTAAAGTGACTGTTACTTTCCTGCTTACCAGCTGCTCATTTGCTTCTCCAGATCAGCAAGGTGCCTGGAACTCTCCTTGAAGAAACTCAAGATTTTTCTTTATTTCCATGTGTGGGGGAACCCATCGGGCCTCTAAGAGGGGTCCCCACTCTGTCTCAGGCACAGACAGCATCTAGTGATCACAGAATGATTTCATCTTAAATCCTTTTTAGGGTAAAAGGAGGGAGTCAGGGGACCCCTAGGGAACTGAGGTGACAGAACGAAACAGAGCAGACATCCAGAGTCTCTATGAGAACTTGAGCCATCAGGGCTGTGCCCGGGAGGGGCTGAGCTGGAGATGCCTGTGTGAATTCAGAGAGAGAGGAGGAGTGAGGCAGGGTCATCCCATTCAGCTTCTCCTTCTTGGCCCTGGCTTGGTAGCAGGATCTGTCTCAACAGGCAAAAGTATAGCCAAACTTGGCAACCAATGAGTTCAGTTCCTGCTCACTCATCCCAGCCTGCAGAGGGGTCTGTCCTTTAATGGCTGTAAGGGGTGGGAGGAAGTTAAGGGGAAGGATTCTCGCAATTCTTCAAGTCTGCACCAAGATGGGAATGCCCACGGAGGAAGCAGAAAGGACATTGCTCAATTGATCTATTTATCACAGTAGCTGGACCAGAGGATTGCGGAAAGACACCAAGACCAACGAAATGAGAGCAGGTGAAGGCTGTTTATTCAGAGCTCGCTCTAGCCAGGGAGTTGGTCCTTTTTGGCAGAGACTCAAAAATGGGCAGCACAGTAGGAAAGCTTTTTAGTGGAAACTGGGGATGCCCCAAGTGGAAACTGCTGGCCTGGGAGGCTGCAGATGGCTCACTGGAGCGGGCATCCTATGCGATTGACTGGAGGGCATATTTGGCTTTGTCTGGTTGGTCCTAAGTTGGAAGCAGGGACAAAAATTAGGAAGCCATCAGTTATCAATTAAGTCCTGGACATGGGGCTGATTGTTAGTTATTACTAGGCCTCCTGGGCAGGTGGCTGCACACTAGGAAGCAGATTCTATTTTTATGTATGGTGCAGCCCAGATTCAAGGAGTTAGACAGGCCACACCATGCGATGTCAGGGGCAGTAATGTCACACTGCAAGGGCGTGCGGCTGGGAAGCAGAATTCACTGGGGGTCAGAACTGTAACTACATCCCGTGGTGGCTCAGATTAGGATTCTACTCTAAGTAGGAAGAGGAGGGTGGATACTGAAGGGATTCATTTATTTGGAAGCAAGAAATCCCAAAAAATAAAAGCAAACAGACATTCCTGGGCTTGGCCACTTATCACCAGATTTAGGTCCCATTTATTAGTCACTTTGTAGCCATGCTAGGGCAATTTGTCACTTGAAATTATGTGCTTTTCTAACCCATCATAAAGTTCTTATCAGGCTGAATTCAACACAAGCTTCTCATTTGAAGACACCAGGTGAACTCTGAGCCCGCAGGAATTTAACTCCCCTGCAAGGACAGGCAGCTAAGGCACGGACGCTGCAAGGACAGGTGATTAGAGGTACAGAGCTCTCTCCCTTCCTAGGGCACTTCAGGATTTCTGGAGATATTGAGGACTTTTATCTTTCAACATAAGGAAACAGAAATTCTTAACAGATTTTATTTAATTCAGGAGAGAAAATACCAAAGAACTGTCTAGAGGTGACGGTATATTCTATCACCCCCACAGATACAAAGGGCCATTGTCTCATCAGCCACCTTTCGAGGCCATCTCACTGCACTTTGAGAGAAATTGAAACTCCTCACTCTGGCTTACAAAGCACTCATGCCCATGCCCTGCCCATTCTCCCAGCCTGCCCTGCCCTCCCCTTCACCTGGAGGGCTTCTGTCCCTGCTGCAGTCAGGTGTCACCTCCCTTTGGGACCCTTCCTTCACCTCCCTAAGGAGTAAGCCCTCTCCCTCCTACCACATCTGGAACATTCGTCCCTCTAAGCCATGATTTTCTTACATTTCAGTGAACATCATGAAATTATTATTTTTTGGCTAGGCACAGTGACTCATGCCTGTGATCCCAGCACTTCAGGAGGCCGAGGCAGGTGGATCACCTAAGGTCAGGAGTTCGAGACCAGCCTGGCCAACATGGTGAAATCCTCTCTCTACTGAAAATACAAAAATTAGCCAAGCACGGTGGCAAGCACCTCTTATACTTTGCAAGCACAGTAAACACGACCCTAGCCGGAACATACTCCCTCTCTAATCCTCACACCAGTCCCTGGTAATTTATCTGAATTTCACTTATGAGGAAACTGAGGCTTAGATAGATCATACCAGTTGCCTGACATCATACAGCTGAAAAGGAATGGAGCTAGGAGTTAATCCCAGCTCTGTCTGGCTCGAAAGCTTTTCTCTTTTACTGTCCTGATGGCCTCAGAGGACTGGCCCCAGAGCAGACGTGGGGAGAGGGTGGCTGTTATTTAACTGTTACGATATTAGGTTAAAGCATATGAAACTGATGACATGTTTTTAGACAAAAATTATTATTTATTTATTTATTTATTTATTTATTTATTTATTTTTGAGGTGGAGTCTCACTCTGTTGCCCAGGCTGGAGGGCAGTGGTTCGATCTCAACTCACTGCAACCTCTCCCTCCGGGTTCAAGCAATTCTCCTGCCTCAGCCTCCCAAGTAGCTGGGATTACAGGCACATGCCACCACACCTGGCTAATTTTTGTATTTTTAGTAGAGATAAGGTTTCACCATGTTGGACAGGCTGGTCCCGAACTCCTGACCTCAAGTGATTCACCTGCCTTGGCCTCCTGAAGTGCTGGGGTTACAGGCATGAGCCACCATACCTGGCCTTTATTTTATGTTATTATTTTGTTTATTTTTGAGACAGGATCTCACTCTGTCACTCAGGCTGGAGTGCAGTGGTACAATCATGGCTCACTGCAGTCTAGACCTCCTGGGCTCAAGTAAGCCTCCTGCCTCAGCCTCCCAAGTAGCTGGGACTACAGATGCACACCACCATGCCTGGCTACTTTTTAAATTTTTTTTTATAGAGACAGGGTCGCAATATGTTGCCCAGGCTAGTCTCGAACTCCTGAGCTCAAGCAATCCTCCCACCTCCACCTCCCAAAACGCTGAGATTACAGGTGTAAACTGCCGTGCCTGGCCTCCCACCTCTTAAATATACTTGTTTCACTCAAATTCTTGGGTGTGCTTCTGGGAGAACCCAAACTTTCAGGAATAGATCCTAAAATTATCCTTACATGTATGCAAAAATGGCATAGATTTATTAACTGAGCATTGATGCAAACAAGAGATTGAAAATAATATATCAAAAGAAAACTGGTGAAATACATTAGGGTACGCCCACACAATGGAATACTATGCAGCAGTATAAAAGAGTGAAAAAGTAGCTTATGTCTTAATATGAACCCATGTCTGAGAAACATTGGTGGAAAAAAGCAAGATACAGAACAGTATGAAGTATGCTACCAATTGTGTAAAAAAGCTTGTGGGTGTGTATGTGTGGTGTGTGTGCACATGTGTACATTTGCCTATCGCCTGCAATCATCTGAAGGAAACCTCAAAACACATCTTGACTACTTTAAGGAGGTGACTTGAATAACTGGGAAGGGAGACTTTTCACTGTACGCTCTTGAATATCTTCTGATTTTTGTACCGTAGACAGGCTTAGCCATTCAAAAAATTAAAGTTACAGTGAAATAATAAATGAATCCATAAAGGAAGATTCATTGTTCCTCAGTGGGCATCTTTACTGGGCATCAGCGCCGCCGTGGAGTGGGTTTGGTGAGGTTCCTGGTTCCACCCACTGCTTCTATGGAGTCTCCATCCAGGCTGCACAGGCTCTCCTGCGAAGGGAAGTCCCACTTCCTTCAATGAGGAGGAGCTGCTGCATTTCCCGCGGTGTTCACCCACAGGAGTGACTGTCCCCTCTCCCGGAGGAAAACCCAGCAGTGGCTTCATCCACTCACAAGGAAGCCCAGGCAGTTCCCCTCTGCCCAAGAGGCTGCACTGCCGGCACCTTACCCACATGCCAAGAGACATCTGAATCACACATGCAAGCCACATGCACCCGAGCACACACATGCACACACACATTCACACTTGTACACCTTACAAACGCACATTCACATACACGCATACACTCGCATGCGCGCACATACACGCACACACTGAAACAGGCATAGGCGTGCACACTTGCTCACTCTTGCACGCACACGTGCACACATTTGTACACCCTCGCTCACACATTCACACACACTTGCACACACACAAATGGAAGCCCAAGCCAGTCCTGTCCGGGGGAGCCGTCGCCGTCCGGTGTATCCAGCAGGCTGGCAGAGTCCGGCTGGCCACGGAGAGGCGGCTCGATGGGGAAGGAGCCGCTACTGGGGTGCGGCCCCCGGGGGACCCCCTTCACTCATCATGTCCTTGTACTGCCGCTTGAAGAAGCCGAGCTGCGGGGCAGAGGAGGGCAGTAAGGGCCACGGAAGCCAGGGAGCAGGTGGATCCGCAAACCGGGGAGTCGGGGGCACCACCGGCCCCAGAGCGCGGGGCAGAGACGGAAGGGACCCGGGAGGGCGGGGCGGGAGGGGAGTGACACCCGCATCGGAGCCTGGAGGGAAATAGAAACTACTACAAGAAAGGCGACTCAGCGTTTGGTGGAGCCTGTGCCTGGGGCGCTCTCAGCGCACCTGCTCTTGAACCAGGCCACCCTCCCTACGTGCGTGCGCCCCCTCCCCCATTTACGGCTGAAGAGACTGAGGCGCAGAGAGGCTCTCGGACTCGCCCCTGCCACACCGCTAGCAGCCCCGTCAAGGAAACGGAGGCATGGAGCTGCAGCGCGAGGCACGGGAGGAGGAAGGGAGAGGGCGGAGGAACGGCAGGGAGTACCTTGTACAGCGCAGCAGTGATGAGGGCCAGGAGCACCAGCCCCCCCACAGAGCTGCCCACGATGAGCGGCACCGGGTTGGGGACCTCGAAAGGTTCCACTTTGGTCTCCGTCTGGGGGAGGAAGAGGAGCAAGGAGGGACGTCAGGGGAGACGACTCCGGGTTTCTGGGGGCTCCCCATTCACACCATGTGCACCCCTGAATCAAGTGGGAAACGCCTCAAGTCCCCCAGAACCCCAGCCCTCACTCCTCCTCTCCCACCTCTCCACCTCCTCTTCCTCCTCCCTGTTTCTCCGTCCTCCCTATCAGTGTCTCTCTCTCACTATCTCTTCTCTTTCTGACTCGGTCTCTCTAGCTCCATCTCTCACTGTCTCTGTCTCGCTCTGTATCTCTGTCTCTCTCTCTCTTTTTTTTTTTTTTTTTTTTTTTTTTTTTTGAGATCGAGTCTTGCCCTGTTGCCCTGGCTGGAGCAATGGCGCAGTCTCGGCTCACTGCAACCTCCGTCTCCCGCGTTCAAGCGACTCTCCTGTCTCAGCCTCCGAGTAGCTGGGATTACTGGTGCCCGCCACCACGCCCAGCAGGCTAGTCTCGAACTCCTGACCTCGTGATCCACCCGCCTCGGCCTCCCAAAGTGCTGGGATTACAGGCGTGAGCCACCGCTCCTGGCTCTCTCCTTCTCTTTATGTATCTCTCTCCTCTCTCTCTCTCTCTCTCTCTCTGTCTTGCTTTATGTCTATCTCTCTGACACTGTCTGTCTCTCTCTTTCTTTGCATCTTTCTCCCCTCCCCCAGAGATCGTCACAAGCCCAGCCCCCACCCCCCAATAGTTCCTCAGCGCTCAAGACAGGTACCTGGGCCCTCACAAACGCCTCCTGTCCCGGCAGCAGGGTGAACACGGAATTGTTAAACAAGATCTCAGCTGTGCTCACAACCAGGAGGTGGTTATGCGAGGTCTGCGGAAGAGAGCGGGTCGGCGCTGCACCTGGGCCCTGGGCGCCACGCCTGTGCCCCGCGAGGCCTCAGGACCCCACACACCTTGATGTACCAATCAAATGAGAGGTTGCCTTTGAGGGTGGCGTTGAATTCTTCCTGGATGCCAAAGAACGGGATGTCACACTGGATTCTCTGGCAGACAGCGATGGAGCAGTTCTGCGGAACACAGGAGGGGAGGGGATGGTAACGAAGCAGAAGGTAGAGAAGACCCTTCCCCGTTGTTCAGAGACCAGATAGGCTCCAGGAGGGAACCGCGCTGCGTCTCCACGTGGCCCTGGGGCTGACTTAGCTTCTCACCACCACGGGGGCCTTCCGAAGCTCAGCCACAAAGTCGGAGTGAGGGGGCAAGCTCTCCTTGGTGTGGCACGTACTCGAGAGGTTCTGAAGAAAGAGAGGCACTGGCACTAAGGGACAGAGATGAAGGAGCCCGGGGCCGGTCGGCCAGGAGGTGAGATGCCCTGAGTCCGGGAGAGGGGCGGAGTGGCTCCAAACCCAAGGGTGGAAACAGAGGTGTAAGGAAGGCGCAGGGCCGTGCTCCACTCACCTCGGAGAAGGTGACCTGGGGGTGGTCCCATATGATCGCCTGGTTCAGCCGGACGGGCACCAAGAACACCAGGCTGATGGGGAGGGTCCTTTGCCCCAGGTTGCTGACCTGCACCAGGAGGGCAAGGTCAGGGCTCTGCCTTCCTCCCCTACCAGCCTGGAGAATCAGCCTCCCCTCCCCCCGGGGCAGGCCACAGGCCCAGGCGTCCTGCCCTTTCCTGTTTAAGAGAGTGGAGTGTTTGGGAGGTTGAGGCGGGTAGATCACGAGGTCAAGAACTCGTGACCATCCTGGTCAACATGGTGAAACCCCGTTTCAACTAAAAATACAAAAAATTAGCTGGGCATGGTGGCGCATGCCTGTAATCCCAGCTCCTCAGGAGGCTGAGGCAGGAGAATTGCCTGAACCCGGGAGGCGGAGGTTGCGGTGAGCCGAGATCACACCATTGCACTCCAGCCTGGATAAGAAGAGTGAAACTCCGTCTCAAAAAAAAAAGAGAGTGGAGTGTACGCCTAACACACATTCGAGTGCCACACAGCCTGGTCTCCAGTCCTGGCTCTCCTACTCACTTGGTGGGAGACCTCAATAGTGTTCTGTAAACCTCTCTGAGCCTCAGTTTCTTCATCTGTAAACTGGGGATCATGACAGTGCCCCACAGAGTCGTTACAAAGGTAACACAAGATAATTACGTGCATGCATGTCACATACGTCCTTGCATGCGTGTATACTGAGCGATAGCAGCGTGGAACCAAGCCTGGCGCACCACAGGTGCTTTACACACATTTCCCATTCCTGTTTCTGCATTTTCTTTTATTTTCTTTCTTTCTTTTTTGAGACAGAGTCTCACTCTGTTGCCCCGGCTGGAGTGCAGTGGTGCGATCTTGGCTCACTGCCACCTCTGCCTCCTAGGTTCAAGTGATTCTCCTGCCTCAGCCTCCCGAGTAGCTGGGATTACAGGCATGCACCACCATGCCCAGATAATTTTTGTATTTTTAGTAGAGAGGGGGTTTCACCATATTGGTCAAGCTGGTCTTGAACTCCTGACCTTGTGATCCGCCTGCCTCAGGCTCCCAAAATGCTGGGATTACAGGCGTGAACCACTGTGCCTGGCCCTGTTTCTGCATTTTCTACACATAGATTTTCCTTCCCAGCTGGGACCCAGACATCCCAGCTCCCCACCTGATATTGATGCTGCATGACTCGACTGGTATTCTCTGAGGCTGTGAAGTTGAGATATTTGGTGGAGACCTCATGGCTGAAGGGAGAAAGAAGGGACAGGAGGTCGGAGAGTGTCTCAGGCTAAGTGTGTATGAGAAAACGGGCACAAGGTTGATGGGTATGCAGACCTGGGGGGTGGAGGTGGGGTGGGGTGTAGGGGAATGGGGGAAGCAGTGCATGCTGGATACACAGGGCACGCCTATTTGGGCCACTCACACTCACATGCACAAAAGCACACCTATGCACACATACGCACATGCACACACCCTCAGGCACACACACGGACAAATACACACCCATGCACACATATACAATGCACAAATACACACCTATGCACACACTATGCACACACACTCTCAGACACACTCACACACAAATACACACCCATGCACACATGTACACATACACATAGATCCTCAGACACACACAAATATACACCCATGCACACATACGCAATGCACAAATACACACCTACACACACACAATGCACACACACCTATGCACACATACACACAGACTCACACACACACAAATACACACCCATGCACACATACACACAGGCACACATGTACACATGCACACAGATCCTCAGACACACACACAAATACACACCCATGCACACATGTACACATGCACATAGATCCTCAGACACACACACACAAATACACACCCATGCACACATATACACATAGATTCTCATGCTCACACACATCCACAAATGCACACATACATACATACACATAGATCCTCAGACACACTCACACACAAGTATGCACAGATGCATGCACACAAATACGTGATCAGCCGCGTCCAGCCCTTAAGTAGAGGCTCAGCTAAAGTCCTGGAAGCCATCACCTGGTGACCACCATGTAGACAGCATATTTCACTGGCAGCTCCAGCTGGAATTCAGTTTTGTTGGTTCTGGACATGTTGTTCTCACTGGAGGGAAAGAGAGAACTCCAGCCAGCTCTTAAGAACTGACAGTTGGCCTTTCCTCCTCCCTCTCCCTCACTCCCTGCCTCCCATCAGCCACCAAATCCTGTTATCTCTGCATCTGAAATCCCACTGCTCTCCAACTCCTGCCCCCGCTTAGCCCAGGCCCATCCCTCTCCACCTGGATGTCGGCAGCTGCCTTCTTCTAACTGGTCCCCTGAATTCACACCTGCTCCCACCCCAATCGCCAGCCCTCCTGAAGAGTGATCATTCTAACCTGCAAATATGATTATGTCATTCTCAGAGGCGAAACTGCAAATCCCTAACAACACCCATCAGTCATTTTGGGACATGGCCTGTATCTAACCACCACCAACTCCTTCAACCCTGCATTTTATGCTGAGGCCATGCTTACTCACACCCTGATCTTCCCATCCCTGGCATGTGCTTCCTGCCTTCTGTCTTCATACCCACCCTCAGTCCATGGCTTTGCTTACATTTTCTTTCTTTCTTTTTTTTTTTTTGAGACGGAGTTTCACTGTTGTGACCCAGACTGGAGTGCAATGGCACGATCTCGGCTCACCGCAACCTCTGCCTTCTGGGTTCAAGCAATTATCCTGCTGCAGCCTCCCAAGTAGCTGGGACTACAGGCGTGCACCACCATGCCCAGCTAATTTTTGTGTTTTTAGTAGAGACGGGGTTTCACCTTGTTGACCAGGATAGTCTCGATCTCTTGACCTTGTGGTCTCGATCTCTTCTTGATCTACCTGCCTCGGCCTCCCAAAGTGCTGGGATTTCTTTTTTTTTCTTTTTTTTTTTGTGAGAGAGTGTCTCACTCTCTCACCCAGGCTGGAGTGCAGTGGCACAATCTCAGCTCACTGCAGCCTCAACCTTCCAGGCTCAAGCAATTCTCATGCTTCAGCTTCCTGAGTAGATGGGACTACAGGCATGCACCACCATGCCTGGCTAATTTTTGTATGTTTTGTGGAAACAGCATCTTGATATGTTGCCCAGGCTGAACTAAAACTCCTGGGTTTGAGCAATCCTTTTGCCTCAGCCTCCCAAAGTGCTAGGATTACAGGCATGAGCCACCATGCCCAGCTCCTAAATATATTTTCTTTTCTTTTTTTTTTTTTTTGAGATGGAGTCTTGCTCTGTCACCAGGCTGGAGTGCAGTGGTGCGATCTCAGCTCACTCACTGCAACCTCCGCCTCCCAGATTTAAGTGAATCCCCTGCCTCAGACTCCTGAGTAGCTGAAACTACAGGCACACACCACCACGCCTGGCTAGTTTTTTGCATTTTTTAATAGAGACAGGGTTTCACCATGTTGGCCAGGATGGTCTTAAACTCCTGACCTCGTGATCTGCCCGCCTCACCCTCCCAAAGTGCTGGGATTACATGAGCCATCACGCCTGGCCCCCTAAATATATTTTCTTTAGGAATCTTCTCTGAACACCAAACTCCCAAGAACACTGGCCATCCCCCATCTAATTTGCATCTCATACTGGATTTGAGATGCAAGATTTACAGCTAGTTTTCTTATCCGTCTTTGCCACTAAATTATCATCTCCAGGAAGGCACTCAGCACAAGACCTCGCACATGGTGGGTGCTCAGTGAGTTTGCTGAGTGAACGAATGAGTCAAAGGGAAAACCAGCGGGCAGGGGGCAAAGGCCCACCCTGGGCCAGGGGCTGGGGCCTCAGACGGGCGGCTGCCTGTGAAAGCTGGGCACAGAGCACCTGGTCACGTTGGCCTTGAGGAGCAGCTTGTTTCCAAGGGAAGCCTTAGTGTCCACATCAAACGTGATATTGAAGGTGACCTGGAGTGGGAAAAAAGAGAGACAATGATAGAAATAAAAGAGAAGAAATAACCCAAATGCCCGTCATCTGATGAATGGAGACATGAATTGAAATGTGGCCCATCCATACAACAGAATATTGTTCACCAAATAAAAAGCAATGAAGGCCGGGTGCAGTGGCTCATGCCTGTAATCCCAGCACTTTGGGAGGCCGAGGCAGGTGGATCACCTAAGGTCGGGAGTTTGAGACCATCCTGGCCAACATGGGGAATCCCTGTCTCTACTAAAAATATAAAAATTAGCTGGGCGTGGTGGTGGGTGCCTGTAATCCCAGCTACACAGGAGGGTAAGGCATGAGAATACTTAAATCCGGGAGGCAGAGGTTGCAATGAGCTGAGATTGTACCATTGCACTCCAGCCCAGGCGACAGAGTGAGACTCCATCTCAAAAAATATTAAATTTTTTTTTTAATTTAAGGAAAAAGAAATCAGTGAGGTACTGACACGTGCTAAGGCGTGAATGATCCTTGCTAAGTCCTTACTTAATATTATGCTAAGCGAAAGGATCACATACGGGACGATTTCATTTATATAAGATGTCCAGAAAAGGCCAATCTATAGTCACAAAGTAGATGAGTGGTGGCCTAGGGCTTGGGAGATGGGAGGATTGGGGCTGAGGGCCAACAGGACAGAGGCTCTTTGTGGGGTAATGAAGATGTTCCAATATTGATCGTGATAATGGATGCAAGACTGTGTGAATTCACTGAAAGCCACTGAACTGTACACTTTTTTTTTCTGAGACAGAGTCTCGCTCTGTCTCCCAGGCTGGAGTGCAGTGGCACGATCTCAGCTCACTGCGACAGTCTCCCAGGTTCAAGCAATTCTCCTGCCTCAGCCTCCTGAGTAGCTGAGACTACAGGTGCACACCACCATGCCCAGCTAATTTTTTTATTTTTAGTAGTGGCAGGGTTTAACTGTGTTGGCCAGGCTGGTCTTGAACTCCTGACTTCAGGTGATCCACCCGCCTCAGCCTCCCAAAGTGCGGGGATTACAGGCACGAGCCACTGCCCCCAGCCTGTTTTTACTTTTTGAGACAGAGTCTCACTCTGTCACCCAGGCTAGAGTGCAGTGGTGTGATCATAGCTCACTGCAGCCTCAACCTCCCAGGCTCAGACAATCCTCCCACCCCAGCCTCCCAAGTAGCTGGGACTACAGGGACTACAGGCACACACCACCATGCCCAGCTAATTTTCACATTTTTTTGTAGAGACAGGATTTCACCACATTACCCAGGCTGGTTTCAAACTCTTGGGCTCAAGCAATCCTCCTGCCTCAGCCTCCTAAAGTGCTAGGATTACAGGCATGAGCCACTGTGTCTGGCCTGAAATGTACACTTTAAATAGGTGAATTGTATGGTATGTGAATTATATCTCAATAAAGCTGTTTTGTACAAAAAGGAAGCACTACTAAAGAAAAGAAGAAAAGAATCCCCAAAGAAAGCCAAAGAGAAAAAGAGAGGAGCCAGGAGTTCTGACCTCTGAGTTTTCCGGGAAGATGGGGTGGTTTATGCTGCAGCTGGTGCTCTTCAAGGGTCCAGACACTTCGGTGGAGGAAGGCAACTCACAGTCCAGGCGCCAGGGTCGCTGTGAGCGCTGGTTCTGGAAGGTGAGGGAGGCAAAGATGGTCATGTCCACCTCCAGCCATAAGACAGGGAAGCAAAGGTCAGATGGAGCCTAAGAAGGATGTGGCTACCTGGGATCTGGACACCCGGTAGGACAGGCCAGGCGGGAAGAAGAAGGTGGCCTGCGTCCTGTAGGAGTCCTCGCCGTCGTTTCTCACAGTCACTGTCACGTTGAACTCCCGGGGGCCACCCACCACGAGGTAGTCCAGGCTGTGGGAGGAAGAAGACAGGATGGGGGGAGCTAGGGGCTTCCCTGTGGCAAGCCTGCTCCGGCAAAACAGAGACGCAGGCACTAGACAAAAGATGACAGTAAGGAACAGCCACACAAGACCTCATGGCCCAGGAACACCCAGCTCCCTTGGGGGCCAGGAGGAGAACAGAGCGCGTTGTGGTATGGATCCTCCTCTGGAGGCAGCGAGGAGGAATGGAAACTCACCCCATGAAACTGAAGGTGATGCTGAGGTCGTCCTGGCAGATGCTGTCATTGCCACAATTCTTCTCAAAGGGAAACTTTAAAAAAAAATAGAATATGATCAAATGAAAGGAAAGGAAACAACCAAATATGGTGAAATTAAACAAAAAAATCAAACTTTGACATAAAATTAGGTGCGATCAAATAAAATGAGTTTCAGCCACCTTGGCCTCTGGTCTCTTCCACAGCCCTGCAGGGCCCCAGACCCGTACTCACCGAGGCTGTGAAGACTCTCCGAGCCTCCGCAGCTAGCACTGGCCGAAGGTTCCCAAAGGCAGACAAGGGCGTCCCCACCAGAGAGAAGTTCAAGCGCAGCATGACGGGGCTCACTATGTCCTCGATGCAATTCTAAGAGATAGCCAGGATTTGCAGATCTGACCTCCTTAGCTCCTCAAGCCCGCCCCATCCGTGGAGGACCCAAGGGTCTGGCCACTCGCCTGCTCACCAGCAACTGTAGCTTCAGAGTCTTACAAGTCTGGGTCAGCCCTAAGGTCTGTGTCTGTCTGCGTGTGCTGTTCTTTGTCTCATCGAAGATGGCTCGGGAATTTTTTCGGCTGGAGTCCAGAGCCAGATCATAAGTCACAACACTCTGGATCTGCCCTGAAGAGGCAGGGTGGCACAGCAGTGAGGGGCCTGCGCTTCAGAGCCTGGCAGATGGGAGCTCGAGGCTCAGCTCCTCTGTTCCTCAACTGTGTGACTTGGGGTGCGTTATGTGACCTCTCTGAGTAGCCTTCTTTCCTTTCATCCTTCCTTCTTTCCTTCCTTTCTTCTTTCTTTCTTTTTCATTCTTTCATCTTTCTTTCCTTTCTTCCTTCCTCCCTTCCTCGCTTTCCTTCTTTTCCTTCCTTCCTCCCTTTCTTTCCTTCTTACCTTTGTTCCTTCCTTACTTTTTATTTTTTATTTTCTTTTCTGAGACACAATCTCACTCTGTCACCCATGCTGGAGTGCAGTGGTGCAATCTCGGCTTGCTGCAACCTCCGCCTCCCAGGTTCAAGAGATTCTCCTGTCTCGGCCTCACAAGTAGCTGAGATTACAGGTGCACACCACCACACTCCACTAATTTTTATATTTTTAGTAGAGATGGGGTTTCATCATGTTAGCCAGGCTGGTTTCGAAGGTAATACACCTGCCTCGGCCTCCTAAAGTGCTGAGATAACAGGTGTGAGCCACCACACCTGGCCTCCATTCTTTATTTTTAGAGAGGATAATAAAGATAATAATACCCTCCCAATGGTAAAAAGGAAATGAAATAGTGCTTACCAAGTATTTAGCACAGTGTCTTTCACACAATAAGTGTTCAGTAAATGGCAGCTATTCTGTTATTCACGAAAAAATTGATTGTATTTTTCTGGCTACTTTAAATTTTTGTATCTTTGTCTTTGGTCTTCAGCAGTTTGATTATCATGTACATTGATATGATGTCCTTTATATTTATCCTGCTTTGATTTTGTAAAGAATCTTGATGTTGTTCATCAGTTTAGGGAAATTCTTTTTTATTATTTATTTTTTTTGAGATGGAGTTTAGTTCTTGTCACCCAGGCTGGAGTGCAAGGGCACAATCTCAGCTCACTGCAATCCCCACCTCTTAGGTTCAAGCGATTCTCCTGCCTCAGCCTCCCAAGTAGCTGGGATTACAGATGCTCACCACCACACCCGCTAATTTTGTACTTTTAGTAAATACAGGGTTTCACCATATTGGTCAGGCTGGTCTCGAACTCCTGACCTCAATTGATCCACCCAATTCAGCCTCCCCAAATGCTGGGATTACAGGCATGAGCCACCACGCCTAGTCGGTTTGGGAAAATTATTTAACTAATGCATCCATCCTATTCTGTTTTTCCTATTTCATCTTTTCTATTCTCTCTCTCTCTATTTCTCTCTCTCCTCCCCCCAACCACTTTCTGTAATTCCAATTACATATTTATTAGACCTTTCACCATATCCCACACATCTCTTATAATGTTTTCCTGTATTTTTGATTCTTTTTTTGTCTGCATATTAATCCAGATACTTTCAAATGACTTGTCTTCTTGTTCACCATTTCTCTGTTCTGCTTCTAATCAGCTATAAATCTATTTACTGAATTCTTCATTTCAGTCACTGTGTTTTTTGGTGCTAGAGTTTCCATGATTTTGCTGAAGTTCTCATCCTTTCCCTTTTTTCTTGAAGATATTAATTATAGTTACCTTTTTAAAATTCCTATCCAATCACTCTAACTTCTGAATCACATATGGGTCTATTTCTATTGTCTATTGTTTCTCTTGGTTGCTAGTCAGTTGTCTCAATGTAAAGACCAAGGTGTTTACCAAGGCCTCTCAAATCTCTGCCTTCCCAGAACTGGGGAGCTGCTGAATTCTTTGACTAGCTCTTTGGCTTTTCAGTTGCTGTTTCTACTGGGTTTCTTGGAGTACTGACCTGGGCATTCATGGCTTAGAAGTCAGCCAAAGAGTTGAGGGGGATTTCTATGTAGATTTGGGGGTACCGCCTCTTCAATTCCCTACCCTCTAACATTTTGCTCTTAATTTCTAGCCATGCTGGCTACCCTCATATATCTGGAATGTTATTTTCTCAGCCTGGGAAAACTGCTCCTAGAAACATAAATGCTTTTAGTGATAGGTCTTGCTATGTTGCCCAGGCTGCTCTCGACCTCCTGGGCTCAAGTGATCCTCACACCTCAGCCTTTCAAGTAGCTGGGACTATAAGAATGTGTCATCATGCCCAGTTAATAATTTTACCTATAAACAGGATACAAATCCCAGCATTTTGGGAGGCCAAGGTGGGCAGATCATGAGGTCAGGAGATTAAAACCATCTTGGCTAACATGGTGAAACCTCATCTCTACTAAAAATACAAAAAATTAGTCAGCCATGGTGGCAGGCACCTGTAGTCTCAGTTACTAGGGAGGCTGAGGCAGGAGAATCACTTGAACCCAGGAAGTGGAGGTTGCAGTGAGCTGAGATCACACCACTGCATTCCAGCCTGGGTGACAGAGCAAGACTCCATCTCAAAAAAAAATAAAAAGAGAGAGAGAGAGAGAGAATACAATTCTTCCTAGTACTGTCATTACTATTCGCCCACTCGAAGCACAATTTGAGAAGAGGAACAAGGAAAGAAGTCACTGGTGATAAAATGCCTATGTGAATACTTTATAAATCTGTGTTTAACTTCATCAACTCAATCTCCCCAAGTAGAATTTCTCTTCATTTATTAAAAAACAAAAATGTGGTTTGTTCACAGGCATAGGCCCTTAGTTCTCTGAAGAACTGAGGGAGTAAGGAAGTGTCACATGCTCACTCTTTAGGGAGGTCTGCTGGACTCCCTCACCCAGCAGGGCAATAGCCTGCTCACTCTGGTAAGGCTTGGAGAAGGTCATCAGAGCCTGTGAGAACTTGGTTCAGGACAGCCAGAAGGCTGGGCAGAGTGGGTTGTACCACCCATCCGTATCCTCTTTCATTTAACCTCTAGAGACTCACCCACCAAGCCTCACCTTCTCTTAGCCGATCCCGTGTGCTCTTGTGGACATGGAGGCAGACTCTGACCTCCCCAGCTTCCTTGCCTTCTGCTGCTGGATCATTACACTCAAATGCATTCCTTGCCACTTCCCTGGGATTGAACTCCATGGTCGCCTCAACTCTCAGTACTGGCTGGGACCTGCAGGGACACCAGAAAACCATCAGGGACCTTCAGACAACAAACGTTCCTTCAAGGGAGAATGCCTGGTCAGCTCCAAAAGGCATTCTCACCTGAGTAGCAGCACGTGCCCCTGCGCTCCCACAGTCAGGTCCACGAGTCCATCCATTGTGAGGTCCTGGCCCCCACTCAGTGACTGACCAAAATACTGGAGCCTCGGAGAGAGCTTGGAGCCTGCAATCCGCTGAGGGTACAAAAGAGGTGGAGAGAGAGAGGTAGGAAAGGATAGGAAGATGTATAACTCAAGTCACCCAGCGTGACGCAGACAGAGTTTCTCTAAGCTCTACTCAAGTATCACCTCCTGCAACTAACCAAGGAATGAGGGCAGCTTAGAACTTAGGAAGGAATTATTCACCTTTAAACAGCAGCCTCAAGAGGATACCCACAATTTCTTTAAAAAAAAAAAAAAACTTTTAAAATAGAAATGGTGTCTCACTTTGTGGCCCAGGCTGGTCTTGAACTCCTGGGATCAAGTGATTCTCCCCTCTCAGCCTCCCAAGTGCTGGGATTATAGAGGTGAGTCACCACACCCAACCCCAAGTTTTTATTAATTACCTGCATTTCCCTGAGTACAGGGAAAAGTGAAAGTATATTATTTGGCTCTGTGAATTTTATTTATGTAGTCAGAATAATGCAAACACTCAATGTTGATCTAACCAAAATGATCACATAAACAGGAGGAGTGAATAGGGGGTAAAAGAGTGCTAGCATGTGGCAAAAGGAAAATTGAAAAAGAGAACAATCTCCACCTTTCACCATGGGAAGTCAGTGCTAAAACAAAAATCAAAAGGTAGCAAAATTATTATTATGTAAATTGAACAGATGGAGAATTAAAAGAGCTGAAAGTGGTTCCCTCAAGAGCAAAGGAAATGAAGCCAAAATCATAGTGTACGTGGAAATCGTCGTTTTTTATATTGAGCTTTTTAGAACTATTTTGGCTCTTTAAAGTATGTGCAAAAGTAACACTGAAAAAATGGCAGGCAAATAATAAGTTTAAAAGAAATTTTAAAAGTGATTTTGTCATATACTTAATGTCAGTGAATTCAACATTTTTAATTCTGGTATAAAAGTTGTAAGACAAAGATATGAAAAATAACTATGGCTAAAAATATGTTAATGGCTACACAATATAAATAACTGTAAACTGTGAATCAGTAACATAAAACGTGTAGTGGGGAATAAAAGTATAGAGTCCATGTGATTTAAGTGGTTATCCACTTAAAACAGACCATGACATTTTGTGGAAACCACAAAGAAAATATCTTTAGAAGTTAAAAAGAGAGGGCTGGGCACTGTGGCTTACGCCTATAATCCCAGCATTTTAGGAGGCTGAGGTAGGCGGGTCGCAAGGTCAGGAGTTTGAAACCAGCCTGGGCAACATAGTGAATCTCCATCTCTACTAAAAATACAAAAATTAGCCAGGCGTGGTGGCGCATGCCTGTAGTCCCAGCTTCTCAGGAGGCTGAGGCAGGCAAATCCCTTGACTCTTGGAGTCAGAGGTTGCAGTGAACTGAGACTACACCATTATACTGTAGACTGGGTGACAGAGTGGGACTCCATCTCAAAAAAAAAAAAAAGAACAGAATAAAAGCGTATTAATACAAGAATTAACAACAATAAAACACAAAGGAAGACAGCAAGAGAAGAAAAGAGGGACAAAAAACCTACATGACAAACAGAAAACAATAAAATGGCAATAATAAATCCTTCTCTATCAATAATCACTTTAAATGTGAACAAAAACTCTCAAAACAGAGTGGCAGAACAAAAATACAAAATCCAATTACATGTTGTCTACAAGATACTCACTTTGTATTTACTGACACATAGGCTAAAAGTAAAGGAGTAGAAAATGCTATTCCATGAAAATGGTAGCCAAAAGAGAGCAGGATGACATGCTAATATTAGACAAAATAGACTTGAAGTCAAGAAACAAATGATATTATATAATGATGAAATGGCCAATTCACCAGGAGTTATAAGAATTAATTTTATACACACCCATCAGACATCTAAATAGATAAAGCAAATACTGACAGAACAGAAGGGAGAAATAGACTTTTAATAGCAAGTAGAACAACTAGACAAAAAAACAAGAGAGAAATAGCACACTTGAACAACACCATGGATCAAATGGACTTAATAGAAACATACAAAATACATAAGCCAACTACTGCAGAATACACATTCTTCTTAAGTGCACACGGACCATTCCTCAGGACAGATCATATGTTAGGTCATAAAATAAGTCCTAACAAATTTTAAATGGTTAAAATGATATCAAGAATCTTTTCCAACCACAATGGAATGAAACTAAAAATTAATAGCATGTGTCCTCCCAAGCCTAAACCAGGAGGAAGCTGAAACTATGAATAGACCAATAACAAGGTCTGAAGTTGAGGCAGCAATTAAGAGCCTACCACACAAAAAAAGCCCAGGTCCAGACGGGTTCACAGCCGAATTCTACCAGACACACAAGGAGGAGCTGGTACCATTCCTTCTAAAACTATTTCAAACAATCCAAAAAGAGGGAATCCTTCCCAAATCATTTTATGAGACCAACATCATTCTGATACCAAAACCTGGCAGAGACCCAACAAGAAAAGAAAACTTCAGGTCAATATCCATGATGAACATAGATGCAAAAATCTTCAATAAAATATTGGCAAGCCGATTGCAACAGCAAATCAAAAAACTTATTCATCATGATCAAGTAGGATTCATCCGGGGGATGCAAGGCTGGTTCAACATACGCAAGTCTATCAATGTAATTCACCACATAAACAGAACCAAAAACAAAAACCACATGATTATCTCAATTGACGCAGAGAAGGCATTTGACAAAATTCAACAGCCCTTTATGCTAAAAACCCTCAATAAACTCGGTATCGATGGAACGTATCTCAAAGTAATAAAAGCTATTTATGACAAACCAACAGCCAATATCATACTGAATGGGCAAAAACTGGAAGCATTCCCTTTGAAATCTGGCACTAGACAAGGATGCCCTCTTTCACCACTCCTATTCAATATAGTACTGGAAGTTCTAGCCACAGCAATCAGGCAAGAAAAAGAAATAAAGGGTATTCAAATAGGAAAGGTGGAAGCCAAATTGTCTCTATTTGCAGACGACATGATAGTATACCTAGAAGACCCCATTGCCTCTGCCCAAAAACTCCTGAAACTGATAAGCAACTTCAGCAAAGTCTCAGGATATAAAATCAATGTGCAAAAATCACAAGCATTCGTCTACACCAATAACAGACTTAAAGAAAGCCAAATCAAGAATGAACTGCCATTCACAATTGCTACAAAAAGAATAAAATACCTTGGAATACAACTCACTAGGAACGTAAGAGACCTCTTCAAGGAGAACTATAAACCACTGCTCAATGAAATCAGAGAGGACACAAACAGATGGAGAAACATTTCATGTTCATGGTTAGGAAGAATTAATATCGTGAAAATGGCTATACTGCCCAAAGTAATTTACAGAATCAATGCTATCCCCATCAAGCTACCATTGACTTTCTTCACAGAACTGGAAAAAACCACCATGAACTTCATATGGAACCAAAAGAGAGCCCGCATAGCCAAGTCAATTCTAAGCAAAAAGAACACAGCGGGGGGCATCACACTACCGGATTTCAAACTATACTACAAGGTTACAGTAATCAAAACAGCATGGTACTGGTACCAAAACAGAGATATAGACCAATGGAACAAAACAGAGGCACCGGAGGCAACACAACATACATACAACTATACAATCTTTGATAAACCTGACAAAAACAAGCAATGGGGAAAGGATTCCATGTTTAACAAATGGTGTTGGGAAAACTGGCTAGCCATGTGCAGAAAGCAGAAACTGGACCCCTTCCTGAAACCTTACACTAAAATTCACTCCAGATGGATTAAAGACTTAAACATAAAACCTGGCACCATAAAAACCCTAGAAGGAAATCTAGGCAAAACTATCCAGGACATAGGAGTAGGCAAGGACTTCATGAACAAAACACCAAAAGCATTGGCAACAAAAGCCAAAATAGACAAATGGGACCTAATGAAACTCCACAGCTTTAGCACGGCAAAAGAAACAGTCACTAGAGTGGATCGGCAACCAACAGAATGGGAAAAAATTTTCGCAGTCTACCCATCTGACAAAGGGCTGATATCCAGAATTTACAAAGAACTCAAACAGATTTACAGGAAAAAAACAAACAAGCCCATTCAAAAGTGGGCAAAGGATATGAACAGACACTTTACGAAAGAAGACATATATAAGGCCAACAATCATATGAAAAAATGCTCATCGTCACTGGTCATCAGAGAGATGCAAATCAAAACCACATTGAGATACCATCTCACTCCAGTTAGAATGGCGATCATTAAAAAATCTGGAGACAACAGATGATGGAGAGGATGTGGAGAAAAAGGAACACTTTTACACTGTTGGTGGGAGTGTAAATTAGTTCAACCATTGTGGAAGACAGTGTGGCGATTCCTCAAGGCCTTAGAAATAGAAATTCCATTTGACCCAGCAATCCCATTACTGGGTATATATCCAAAAGACTATAAATCGTTCTACTATAAGGACACGTGTACACGAATGTTCATTGCAGCACTGTTTACAATAGCAAAGACCTGGAATCAACCCAAATGCCCATTGATAATAGACTGGATTGGAAAAATGTGGCACATATACACCATGGAATATTATGCAGCAATCAGGAATGATGAGTTTGTGTCATTTGTAGGGACATGGATGAATCTGGAGAACATCATCCTCAGCAAACTGACACAAGAACAGAAAATGAAACACCGCATATTCTCACTCATAGGTAGGTGATGAAAAATGAGAACACATGGACACAGAAAGGGGAGTACTAAACACTGGGGTCTAGTGGGGGGAAAAGGGGAGGGCCAGTGGGAGGGGGAGGTGGGGAGGGATAGCCTGGGGAGAAATGCCAAATGTGGGTGAAGGGGAGAAGGAAAGAAAAGCACACTGCCATGTGTGTACCTACGCAACTGTCTTGCATGCTCTGCTCATGTACCCCAAAACCTAAAATCCAATAAAAAATTAAAAATAAAATAAAATAAAATAAAATTTTAAATATTAAGCAAAAAAAAAATTAATAGCAGAAGGAAAACTAGAAGATACATAAATATGTAATAATTAAATAA